ATAGCCTGATGTAGTTGGTTCTTTACTTCAGTTGCTATCATTTCAGAGATTTCAGGTGTGTGACTTCCATATTCTTCCATGTTGATGTTTCCTGAACTTGTTCTGGGTGGTGTGTTTGGCTGAGATTGCATTTGCTTCTTTTTTTTTTTTGTCATTTTCAAATCTCCCGAGGTTTTCAGGGATTCAGGTTCGTTCCTGAGATGGCCATGGGGGCAGAGCCAGAGGACACGGGCACCCAGACAGCTCACCCAGTCTTCCCAAGTCCAAGGCCCCTCCCCCAGTGGCAGTGGGTGTGGAGCCACAGGATCTGGGTCCCCAAGCAGGTCACTGAGGCTTCCTGCATCCAAGGCCCCTCTGAAAGGTGAAATTGATGTTTTGATGGTAAATAAATTACCCTCATCCTAACCTCCTGTTCAAAAAATGCTCAGGCAGTGGGTGCCACCCTGGGCCAGCTGGCAGGTGCTGCTTTTGTGGGTGCAGACTCCACAGCAAACTTCCCTGTGCTCCTGGAAAACTCCTCAGACTTGGCCAAGGGCCCCATGCTCTACTTAGTATTTTAAATAGCCAAGTTGCTGTAATTGTTTTCTTGTTGATTTACCAGGATTTGTAAATCAGCATCTTTCCTGACAATTTCCTGGTGTGAGGAGTTCTTTTCATCTTTCTTCTCACATTCTTGGTTAGGCCAAGGTCCCTGTGATGAAAAGTAGATTGTGAAGTACCATTTCTCTTGCTAAAGGGTCTTAGCCAGTTGAGTCCTCTCCAGTACCTTGTGTGGTTTAAGACTCGTTTTGCCACATCATTGCCAGCAGGGGGAGACATGTTCCCTTGAATGCTGTTGTGCTTACAGACTAACCTAGCCCAGTATTTCCTTTTCCTTTCTCCTATCCCAGAGAGCTGTGTCAGAAATTGCAGCTCTGCCCTGCCTGCTTCCATAATTGTTACCTGTCCTCTCCATGTACTGATCTGAATTTTTAATCTTGCATAATGTACTGTGAAGAGTTAACCTGTGTTGAGCTTTATTTGAAGTTTAGTTATTGATTGATGAGGGTAGGGTGTTGGGTTGTGGCTCAGTGGTAGAGCACTTGGCTAGCATATGTGAGGACCCTGGTTTTGATCCCCAGCACCACTTTAAAAAAAGTCAACATATACTTGTGCTAACATGTACAAAAAGGGGGGGTCAAGAGATAGGGTGAAGGAAGGGAAGGAAAAGGGAATGAGGAAAAGAATTAAGATGTGTAGAGGCTGAGGGTTTAGTTCAGTGGCACAATGACTACCTGGCAAATGTGAGGCCCTGAATGCATTTCCTGGTACCTCCCCCCATAAAAAGACATGTTATATCCATGTACCAACTCCCCACAAGGAATGTAAACTTGTACTACACATATGTGGTAATGAAAAAAGATTTAAAATATTTATAAACAATTGTTTAAGGGCTGGGGATATAGTTCAGTGGCACAAGTACCTGCCTGGCAAGCACAAGGTCCTGAGTTTGATTCC